GTGTGTGTGTGTGTTTCTGTTCAGGTACAGAAAATTCTCCAGTCCAGCCAACAGAAAGAGGGTTTGGAGCTCAGGGCTCTGCTCACCAATCCTCATCTTCAGGTCAGATGTCAGCTTGCCAGCTCTGGCTTTTCATATCTCCCCTTTACCTACACTATTAATATAAAACGACACCAGTGAGACTGAGCGAGCCAGCCGAGCCTTGTAGACCAACTCATTGATTTAGTTAATATGCTGATATTTTAAATACTGGAAATATAATTTTTATTATTCCAATAGGATAATTGTCTCTCTTGCACCCTCCACTGGGAAGTCAGAGTTAATCATATAAGATAAGATAGATTGTAAGAAGAAAAAATAGGACTTATACCAGTTCAAAGGCAATTAAAGAAGAAATAATTCATTGTCAACCTTTTGCGTTCCAAAAGCAGAAATGTCTTTGCTTGCATCTGCAGAAATCTCTTTTTTTAGTCAGCCTCACTTTGTCACCTAGTGCCATCATATATACTTGACATAGAGACTGATTGACAGATTGCTCCATCATGATACAGTACACTGAACACCAGGACAGAACAAAAGATATAGACAGCAGGAACTTTATGGAGGAGGTCATGAGTTCATGTAATGTTGGTCTCCCTTGAGCTGGCAGGAATTTATTATTTTGCTCAAGGATATTTGAGCAGGGCAGATGCTTGCTTTACAGATGAATTCTTTAATGAGACACTGTTATTATTAGTTTTATTTCAGGGTGGGCTAAAGTAAATCTTTTTCAAGGTCAACTAGTCCTTGTTTTGTTCTCGAAGATTAATCTGGTGGGTCTCAAGAAAGGCCATTATGTAAATTAGGCTGTCATGTGGGTCAGCTCTCTTGGTAATGAAAAAGGAATGATTGGTGTGTTCTTTGCAGCAGAGTTCTTGTCAATGTCTTTGAAATTAACTAAGAAATGTAACAGATCTTACCGGTTTATGTCATGTGTGTTTGTGTGTAGTTTACAATGTCTCTGCAATTATGTACTGTAGTTTGATTTAGATAAATGAAAGCCACAATTAACCTTTTAATAAGGTTTATTCCTACGGGTAAAAGAAAATGGTCCTGCTGACAAGGTGTATGCTTCTTTTAAATACAGTGAAATTGCCAGTGTATTACAAGATGTAACTGGTTGATACATACATACATACATACATCCTCTACATAGTATCTTAAGATGTTAAAATAATAGTCTAGGTGACTATTTCTTACTTATTATGAAGGGGATAAAGTCAGCAAGTATTTTAAAGGAGGGTTTTAGGATACTTTATAATCAAAGACTCACAGCGGGTGTAATTAACTATGAGTCTAATCTTCGGTTATGAGCAATTTCTCAGTCCAATTTGGCTTTAACCTGTTAAGTAAGGATCATACAGTACATTACCAAGGCTGCTGTTGGCGCAGCTAACTAACTGGACAATTAGGATGTTCTTCTCAGGTGAGCTACGTGCTCCATCTTTACAGAAACGATTAGACCTCAGAGGTGTTCGACAAAATACAGATATTCAAATTGCATTGCTTTAAAGTGGCTTGACTTGCTAATGCTCTTGATTTGTCAGTTTAAGCTTCAGTGATTCTTCTGTAGAAAAAAAAATATGTAGCCACATTATCAGGCTGTCATTGTCCATTAGAGAGGCAGTAAGGTGAGAGAAGACCCCAGGTGGATGATTCTGCTGTGATTTTATGGTTGAGGGTCCTGTCAGCGGAGCGCCAGGGGGTCTGATGTATGACCCATGTGTGAACTACCAATTCTCCCATTGCCCTGTTAACCCCTCCAGTGAGCTGGATCCATGTAGCCAGCAGGGGCAGTATGATGTGAAGTGAGCCTGCCTTGTGGCACAGAAAGTGGAACAGATTATGTTGGTTTCCCTGTGGGGAGCAGAGAATCACATGAGTCATCCTGTAGTCTGTACAGGTAAACAACCTCATAGCCCATACTAATGGAGACAGGTACATGTGTGAGAGAAACAGGGTCTGCCTCAAGTTCATCTGTCTCCCTTTCACCATTTTCTAGGACACAATTTCCTCACGAGCAGGGAGGCCAAAGGTGTTTGATGATTGATGGCGGTGGATCCTGACTCCTTAATGCTGGGGGAGATTAAGACGGATTGTGTGTACGCCAAAGCTTAGCCTGGCCTGCGCTCTCTCAGGTCCCCTCTGCTGCAGGATAGAGAAACTTAATTTGGACCGACGGTTATTAATTGTGGGGTTGGGAGCGCTTGTCACATTAAATGAAGTGAAAGAGCAATCTCTGTGTTATTTCTGGCTTAGAGGTGGGTTTACTGACTGGTCTTGTTAAAAAAGATGGGGGTGTAGATAGGTTTCTTTTAACAGGTGTATGTTTGAAATATGTATGGTATCTTCTTTTTCATCAGTTGATAAATGTATGGTGTTATAAACCATGCTATAAGATTTATGACTTTTATTTCCATGACAACCATAGCCGTTATAAAGGACAACATCTATACAGAGACAATCAGAAGCCATTCATGCATATATTCTCTTTACCTCACGCTGCCCCCTCTTTTATTTGTCTGTCTGTGTTTCTGTCTATTGTGTGCTTGCAAAATTTCTGTGTGTGCGTACTGTTTGTCTCTATGTGTGTCTCTGTGTTTGCTTAATGTGGCAGGCACTGATGCAGGCTCATGACAGTGTGGCGGCGCAGGAAATGGCAGAGGAAAATGTGACCGAGTACCTCGGAGAGACCGTTAAACTGGTGCGGCTGGAGAAGGCCCGCGACACTCCATTGGTGAGACGCCATCTCTTAGCCTTTCTGAGTCTCTTCTGTTATTGCTGTGTGCTTGTGTCTCATTTAAATTGCTTTATAATCGACTTGGGAATATTTTACTTCATAATTACAGATCTTGTGAGAGGCAAGGCGGTGAGGAACAAGGACAGTTGTGTACACATCCAAAAAAGTTGATACTGCATATAATTACAGTACAATAAAAATTGAAAAATGTAGAAGACAAATGAGCCAATAAGATATATATGGGTTGTAAGCATCCTTTTTTTTGTGTTATTTATTGTATGTTTTTTAATGTAAGTTAAAAAAAAAGTCTCTACTCTCAGGCTTCACCATGCTCCACCAACTCACATTTATCATCTGGGTGTGTCAGTGTCAGTGTACCCACAAACCAACAGGGTAGCAAAATGCCTGTGAGTGTGAGCTCCATTTCAAAACACTGGCACTGACACAATGATGTTCATCGTATGTGACATGTTTCTTGGTATGCAAACTGTTACCCCTCCTTGGCTTTTTAGACTCTCTGTTCACATTTCAGAGAATATTATGGGTTCGAAGTGTTTTGTTTACATATTAATTATCCAGTGTGTTGCTTGTTTTGTGAGACTCTTTGGCATCTACAGCATATTAACTCAGTGTGTTTGTGTGTTTGTGTGTGTGTGTGTGTGTGTGTGTGTGTGTTTGTGGCCATCAGGGTGCAACAGTACGAAATGAGATGGACAGTGTGGTCGTGAGTCGGGTGGTGAAAGGCGGAGCAGCAGAGAGTAGTGGCCTTCTGAGTGAGGGAGATGAGATCCTGGAGATCAACGGGATTTCTATTCGTGGGAAACACATCAATGAAGTCCACGACTTACTGGTGAGGACCGGGGGTTATCCAGAGGGGTTATACAATAATTCATGGGAAATTAGCTCTGTTACAACTTTATTTTAAATAATGGGAATATAGCTTTGTTATGGTGTTCATACAGGTGCTTAACATTTCTTGAAAACTAATATTATGTACATTTAAAGCCATAAAAGGCATTAGAATTTATTAATAAATCACTTGTTCCTCCGTAGATGGTGACATTAGGTTTCAACCACAATATTCTTTTCTAAATTCATGTAAAATTAATTTGCTGAACATGTTTAGCTTTTAGGTGCTTGTTGTTGGTACTGTTTATTTCACTGTTGTACACTACAGGCAAACACAAATTAAGATCTGGAGCTGTGGGCACAATTATATGCATTGATTTTAAAAGATCATTGTTATCTTAACAGAATAAACAGCATTACTGCTGACTGCATTTATTTCTGAAAAAGTCTGTGTCTTTTTCCTGTGGCAATTTAAAGGTAATTTCACATGAATACAAATTCTCATAATATAACATACAGCCAACTGCCTGGAAATAAAACATTTGCTAAACGCCCTAGGTCAGTATAAGATATTGTTTTATGGAAATGTGATCCCTGTCATGTTTAATTCATTGCATGCCATCTTTTCCATCAGCAACAAATGCACGGCACTCTGACCTTCCTCCTCATTCCAAGCTCGCAGATTAAACCTGCCCCGCACAGACAGACTGTGGTAAGTCTCTAATGATGTGGGTGTGTGCGTGCATGAGAACGCCTGTCCGCATGCATGCAACGCTAACCTTGACATTGTAAACCCTGTCCTCAGATGCACGTTCGTGCTTACTTTGACTACGACCCCAGTGATGACCCCTTCGTGCCATGTCGGGAGCTGGGCCTGTCTTTCCAGAAGGGAGATATCCTCCACGTCATCAGCCAGGATGACCCCAACTGGTGGCAGGCCTACAGGGACGGAGATGAGGACAACCAGCCCCTGGCTGGACTCATTCCAGGTAGGGACCAGACCTGTGCTGAATATCAATATGTAGTTTATTGCTTCACAAGGGCAAATTTCTACTAGTATAAAAATCTAGAAGAATACAGTTATTATGTATTTATATGTTTTGTAGTATCACATTCTTTTATTTATATATACAGGAGAAAGGTCACCTTAATAACATATAGTGCTACAACATACTGTAAAAACTGTATTAAAACAAAAGTATAAAGTATATTCACTTCGTCTTAAATACATAGAGTTGTATATTTTACAACATCTTTCTTATACATGTTTTTTTTGCATTTTGCCTGTTTTGTCCCTAATTTAACAACGTGTGCATGATAGAAAAGGAGCAACAAAATTGGAGTTGCCTGCAAATGAGGTTCTTTGACGTTGCATTGAGAATATATTTTGGAGGACCAGGTCTGTTTTCAGCTAAAGGTTGATAAAGCAGTCATTCTGTCAGCAAGTACAAGAGACGGAAATGTGCAAATAAATGATAATTCTGAATAATTTGAATCAATTTGTTGATAGATAGAAATTGTCCAACCAGTGCACACATCTATATCAACATTCAAAATCCAGATGTAGTCTTAGTAACCAGAATATGGTACCCACAACTTTATTGTACATTGTTTTAAAGCCTTCAACCAGTCACCACAACTTCTCATAGTATATTGACAAGTTGATTATTAATTCCCTCCCTAGCAGCACGTGGGAATGCAGTCATAGTAAAGTACTTGAAAGTTGTCTGTGACGAATAACTTAGGTGGCACGACTATCCTGGCAGGAAACACCACCCATCTGGCACATCAAGCTGATTAAAACAAACACCTAAGAATTCTTTGCGATTACTCTCTGAGCCCGGCCTGTTGTGTCTGGAAGGAAATCAGGTTACGCACAGGAAATGGAAAGCTGTCCATTTTTTTGCCTGTTCCTCAGCACCTCAGGAAAGTCTAGGATCTATAGAGACACATTATTGAACACCAACCACAATGTTTTAATCCATTACAACTTGTTTAAATAAATATGGGCTTTTGAAGTGGAAAACGCACTGGATTGGTGAATCTATATTTACAGTGTTGGATAAGCTGATCTGTTTCTCTTTGCTTTCCTCATTTTTTTTTTTAGGTAAAAGCTTCCAGCAACAGAGAGAAACCTTGAAGAAAACTATAACAGACAAGAGTCGAGAGCACCAAGGTCTGTTGAAACATACCCTATGTGAAAATACAAGATATTATTTGCAAACTCAAACATTCTGCATCCACCCTGACTCACATAAAAATAGAAGTTGTGGTGTCTAGATGGTTGTAACAAACTGGAACGATAAAGTGAACATTCTTTTGACTTGTCATTTCTCCAGGGAAGCTTTGGTGTGCAAAGAAAAGCAAGAAACAAAGGAAGAAGAGCACGCCTAACTTGAGCAAAAATACTGGTAAGACTCAACTTTTTCTTTTTTACTTTTCTCACTGTG